TTATAGTTTTTATATTTTTAAATAATAGACACTAAAAAATTCAAGTAATTTAGATTTATAGAAAAAATTGAAATTCAAATATAAAATACAATCATGACCATTGGATCAGTCCCATATTCAATCTGGGTCATTGGCTGTAGTTGTTAGCTAGTAGGCTAACGACAACCCTTCCCTATATGTGTGTGTGTGTGTGTGTGTGTTGAGATTGGCCCATTATAAGAACATATGTGTTCATATGAGCCCAATAGTTTAGATTGAATATGGGTCGTTCTGACGATCACAATCTCATTTTGTATTTGAATTTGAATTTTGTCTACGAATATAAATAATTTGAAATTTTAAGTGTGTATTATTCAAAAATAAGATAATCTAATAAAAATATCGAAAAAATAATTTGCAAGAAATAAATTGATCAAAATACCCCTGAAACATTTTGGGGGTATTTTGGTATATTTATTTTTTGTGACTTATTTTTAAAATATTTGTATTAGGTGCTCCTTGATGAGAAGAATACACACCTAAAACTTCAAATTATTTGGATTTATATAAAAGAAAATTAAAATTAAAATTTAAATACGAAATGAGAGTCAAATCGGCCCAGATTCAATATAAGGTCGTTGGGTTCATATGTTCATATGAGCTAGTGGGCTAATTTCAGCATATTCAATATATATACAGGTGCTCCTTGATGAGAAGAATACACACCTAAATTTTCAAATTATTTTGTTACGCTACACCACTTGCAGTGTATAACCTTAAAGTCCTCCATATTTTTGACACTTAGGTACCCTTATCGTATAATATAGTAACTCTTTGTCGACGGGTATTTTAAGTAATTAGTCAAAGGTATAGTGAAAATTCCTAATATAAACGAAAGCATTTATTAACAACTGTAGACAATGACATGCCTGACATGGTGTGTGACATCACCCACATAACAGGTTAATTGTTTTTTAACGGTATGTGACATCACCCATATAATGGGTTTATTGTTTTTTTAACTATTAATAAAATATATATTATAATTCGAGGGTATCTAAGTATCAAAAAATGTTGATGACTTTAAGAGTATCGGACACAATATTAGAATTCTAGCTCTTCGAAAATGGTATCTCATGCTCGGGCCCTCCAAAAAAGAGGGCTTCTTTGCGGTCCACTTTAGCTGCGTAGGAAAGGCCCAAAGCCAATCCTTTTCTAAAATTCATTAAAGTCCAATTAAAAATCCCAAAATGCAATTAACTTTGAATGAAAATATTAACAGTTAAATATCAAATCTTTGATAAAAGCTCCATTTTTGCAGCTGATATCGAGAAAAAACTGGATAATTGCATAGAGAATCGATGGAATCTCAAGACGGATTCAAACTTATAGCTGACTACGAGCTTTAGAAGTTGAAAAATTAGAGTAACTTCGAACTTCAAATATCTTTTTTCTTTTTCAGTTTCAACCCTCAATAGCTTGTTTAGCATTTATTTTATTTTATTTTATTGGGCATTAGGGTTTTCTGCTTGCTATGTTGTTTCTTCCGTTATTTGCCACGTTAGCTGGCCCAAACCGCTTTGACGCATGCATACACGTCGTCAAGGTGAAGGTGACTGGCTTGTCATCGCGTGTGATGCTTTCATGGTCTTAGTTTTCAATGTGTACAGTCTTCCATGTGGATAAGTTCTCCCATTTTTTCGCTATAAACTAATTTTACATACAAGTCATTTTACAAACAAGCTTTTGGGAACAATTTTATATACGAGACATTTACAATGCCGCCAAACTTACATACTTTATTACATAATTAATATTTAAAGCTATTTTATTTAGGGTGCGGTTTGTATAGAGCCCAGGCTCTAAACAATCAAATTAGAGCCTACCTTCAAATAGTATTGAAAAATATGGTTTTAATATTGAAAATCTTTGTGATAGCCTTAAAATATATTTTCATTTTTATTTATAATGTTTAAAGCTTAAAAAATAGTATAGATCGATAGATATATAAAAACTTAAAAATCTTGAAAATTGACGGTCCAAAAATGTGCTACAAAATACACTATTTTCGAAAATTGAAATCCATTTTTTTTCTCATGTCCATGCATATTGATGTCGAGATGATCAATTTGAAGATATTTGAGCATCAAAACAACCTCTTCTAATTAAATGAAAATAAGTATATCCTAACCTCATAACCCATCGAAAATTGTAAGTCAAGTACTAGAAAACCTTTACACCGGTAATATCGACTTGAACACTATGATTGTAAAAAAAATAAATGTTCACATATCATTAGTAAAATAATGATAACAAATTATCTAGACCATCCATTTCATTTTAAAAACATAGATCCATAAAAACAAACGGGGTTTATACATGCACTGGATATAAGTGCCGCATACACGTTTTGGCCAAGATGATTGGGACAAACCAGTTTGAACCGCGCACACCCCCTCCATTATATATGTACAATCTGAATTACCATTTTAACCATATTTTTTTATTCTATTCCCACTTTTAACTTATATTCCAAAAAAAACATCTGACAAATATACCCCTTTCCCTCTCTCGATTGATCAAGGAGAGAGATTGAAGAATGAATGGGTTAGAGAGAGATAATGTGGAAGGGGTAGATAAAGAGTAAGTGTAGGATGCAAAAGAGAGAGGGAGATGTGAGATGGGAAAGAGAGAGGGGTGGGCCTTAGGCTCTTACAAACGAGAGAGGGCCGGGCTTGTAGTAGCCTTTAAAATATTTTTTAAACATAGTGTAAATCGAGCCGTTCTATAAAATTTTGAGAATCTTGAAAATTGATGGTCCATAAATGTGCTACAACATGCACTATTTTTAAAATTTAAAATCCATTTTTTGCTCATCTTTATATATCTTGATGTCGAGATGATCAATTTGACGATATTTGAGCATAAAAAAAACCTCTTCTTGTGAAATTTTTGAGAAGGGCTCGAATTTGATTGTATAGATACTATAGAGCCTTGGCCCTATATAAACTTTTCCCAAACATAGAATGGTGCGCTTCGTATAGAGCCTAGGCTCTAAACAATCCAATAACAGCCTACCTTCAAATAGTATCGAGGAATGTGGTTTCAATACTGTAAATAGTTTTGATAGCTTTAAAATATATTTTTATATTTATTTATAAATTTTAAAGCTTCAAAAATAGTGTATATCAATGATATCTATGAAAACTTGAAAATCTTTAAAATAGACGGTCCAAAAATACGTTACAAAATACACTATTTCCAAAACTTGAAATCCATTTTTTTCTCATGTCCATGCATATTGATGTTGAGATGATCAATTTGAGGATATTTGAGCATAAAAAACAACCACTTCTAATAAAAGTTTTGAGGTAGGCTCGAATTTAATTGTTTAGAACCTGCGCTTTATATGTAGACTTTTCCAAGATAAATAAAAAGAAGGAAAAAGTTTATATAGAGCCCATACTATAAATAATCAAATTAGAGCCTACCTCATAATTTTCACCGGAAGAGGTTGTTTTGATGGTCAAATATCGTGAAATTGATCTTCTAGACATCAAGATGCATGAACATGAGAAAAAAATGGATTTCAATTTTTGGAAATAATACATCTTGTAACGTATTTTTTTACCGTCAATTTTTAAGATTTCCAAGTTTTTATAGATGTCCTCGATTTATACCATTTTTTAAGCTTCAAATTTTATAACTAAATACAAAAATATATTTTAAAGCTATCACAAAACTTTATAGTATTGAAACCGTATTTCTCGACGCGGGCTGATTGTTTAGAGCAGTGTTTTAAAAAACGCTGACTCGTCTGGTTCGACTCGGGAATCGTGAAAAGGGGACCGGATCGCCTAAAAAATCGGAAATCGTCCGGTTCTAGAGAGAACCGGACGATTCTGTACAGTGAATCGCCGATTCACTGTACGGAATCGGCAAGTCCGTACAGTTTTTTTTTTTTTGTTTGTAATCCAT